TTAATGGAGGAAGAAAAGTTAGTATCGGCTTCAAGAATCGGCCCAAAAATATCGGCTGCTCGTATCGGCGTATCGGTTAGACTGATTTTTAAAAAATCGGTATCGGCCTTCAAAAACCTGTATCGGTCGATCTCTAATGTCTTGGTTGTATGCAAGTAAAGATTGAAGTTCCTCCTTGACACATTTCAGTATACTTTTCCCTTTCTCCGAAAGCTCCGGGATACACTTAATCCTCAGATTGTTTCTTCTGCTGTAGTTTTCTTGGTTTTGTATCCAGGCTTCCAGCTGTGTAACTTTGGTCTTCATCTCAGCTGTGACTTGAGTAAGCTACGCCTTCTCGTCTTTGAGGTGCGACACTCTATTTTCAGTTTTCTGTTGCAGAGGCAAGCTACGTCGGATTTCAGTGAATCAAGACAGACTTTAAATGTAGTCACGTCAGTCCCAACCTTTTGTATTTTGTATTGAAGATCTCAATTCATGTTGCAAATTTCATTTATAACAGATGAGCCTCAGTAGATCGCTCCATGCTGGTGTTAGCATTAGGTTCATTAGCCAGAGGAAAACCGTTAATTGTGCAAACTTACTCCTGGAGAGAGACGCTTTTATTTTGGAATATGAGCACGCCATACAACGACAGGGTGAAAGCAGTGATAAAACCATGGTCTAGCCTTTTTGGTGATCTTGGGAAAGGCAGTAATTCCAACACTTCCTGGAGAGCCACGTTTACGTTACCCACGTTTACACAAACACTTATAAACAGCACAGCGACAAAAAAATAAAAGGTAAATTCTGAACAGTAAAACCACAACAGCTTTTTTTTTTACACAACAGATGAAGCCGCTTTGAATGGTCTGCCCATAATTACGCCCACAGAGTGAGGGACACACTGAGATGGAGAGACGCACACACGCATGAACAGACCTGAACCAAATAGAGTAGAACCGTGCTCATGGAGAAGGGGTTAATATCTCCCAGAAGCTGTCCCAATTAGTGAGCCTGCTCCCTTTCAGGTTGAAGAACATGGATTCATAGGAGGCTGTTTTTGCCATTGGTTTAATTTACTCATTTAATTTAGAACACTTTGTGTTGTAAGGATCTGGCTTAGGATAAAATAAGCCTTTCCCACATCTCTCATACACAAGATTATGAGGAAATTAATTACCAAGGAATTCCTTATTCTTCGTTAATATCTTGATTGTGCGAAATAGAAATGACACACAATAAGTGGAACACTCAGATGAGTTCAATTTGATCCATAAACAACTATGCGATCATTTACTTACATAAATTAAACAAATCATGAGTTACAACTTAATTGTGGATAATCAGTTTCCTACAACAAGCTTTCAGAATTAATGAGATAAAAATCCGCATCCGAATTCCATCTATATCAACTCAAATTACTTATAATAGAACAGTAACGTCGGTTCTGAAGTTATATAAACCAAACATTTACTGGCACATTAGCTTGAGTTTCTGGCAAGGCAAAATAGTACAAGAAAAAGAGGAAAAGTAAGGTTAGTATTTCTAATACTTTTACTTTTAACAAAATGTGAGTCAACCGGAACCACATGTCTTTTCTGAACTCAATTTCTGCCGGACACGATTACCCAAAACACTTCAGCCTTTTTCCTGATGATGACTTCTTAAGACATCCTCTTAGCAGCAAGGCTGGCTCGCCTCCGATCAGTTAGAAAACTGTTGTCGGCTCGCTCACCGGTCATTGGCAAAACGTTATTTCTCCGGTAACCTTCTGCGTCTGCTTCAATCCAAGCCAGAAAAATTCGAGCTGCATCCGGTTTCTCCTTCAAAATAAATCATCTTCGCCATCAGAAGGTAAAATAAATGCTTTGGAGGTTTTGAACCCTTGTGATGGGGTTCGACAGGCTTGTCGAATCCCTGGCTGTAAAAATCCACTCTTTGGCGCTCGAGTCGGATTTTCAGCTCAGAGCTGAGTTCCTCTGAAGAGGATAAACAGCTGTCTTCCTTGTTTGAATTAGGAAGTCAGAGTGCGTCCCTCAAAGCCGTCCGGGTTAGTAAAAAGAACGGAATGACTTTGGTTCCGCCTTCAGGCTTAAAGATGAGTCAGAGAAAGGAAAGTTAAAGATTGCCAGGCGCCAGTCAAGGTTAACTCTGTGGTTGAACAAACAAACATCATGATAACCTCTTTTTAGCTTTCTTCTGATAGACTCTAAATAAAAATCACTGCAAAACATTTATGTTGATTAGCTGTAACATTTCTGTTTATAATCAATTCTAAACCATTCTGTTAGTCCAGATAAATGAAAGATTTTCTCAAGAAAAATCCACAATTATATTACTGTGTTCACAGAAAAATAAAAACAGTGATTTGCATAAAACACAATGAAAACATTGTAATCAGATTCTCTGTGATTTTTTTATACCATTATAAATCTTTAAGGCACGATAAGAGAAAAGAAGTTGTTCTACTTTTCCTGTGACAGTCATTATCATGATTTAACAAATGCATAAACATTCTTAGTTAAATGACAAATGAATCACGAACAGAGGAGATTGTTCTGTCCATTATCTGATTAAGAGAACTGAGTGGTTCTCTTCCACGGTTAGAATGACCTGTCATGGCCTAAAATAGAGTTTAGTTTGTGACAGAGTTCCTGTTTTCTTCTCAGGCCCATCCGAGGCCTGCTTAGAAGCAGAAAATCTTGTTTCTTTACTCGAGGGACCCCTACAGTTGTCTTCCAGTGTCTTAAGATGACCCTGGATAAGGTCACAAGACTGACCACCATGACTGATAAGACTCCTTCTGAGATGTCCTGCATTTGAGGTCTCCTAATAAACACAGTTCTGGAGTCTGAGAGACCTCTGAGATTCTCCAAGATTTTAGTCCAAAAAGGTGAAACCAGAGAACATTCCCCAAAAGTGTAAATATGTATCCACCGCTTTTTTTTACATTTCCAACACAGATTATCTGCAATTAGCTTGTAGTCTGGTGGGAGTGTGATAATATCCATGTATCTCCTCCTGTAAGATTTTTTTTCTGGCCTCCTTCACATATTTACCACTCTCTGATAGGACATCTAACCATCTTTTGTGTGCCACTGAAACATATAATAATAATGACAATTTAAAGGGGACAGTATCATTAAAATCTACTGTTCTAGCTGTTGAATACATTTTGTTGTGCACTTGAAGGCTCTTTGAGTGTGGAAATGTTTAATTTAGTTTCTCCTGGTGCTACAAAGATATTTTTATATTCTATTTGGTTCATATTTTTCAGCCCATTCAGTTTTCTCTGTTTTCTATGATGTGATGTTTCTGAACTTTTGCGTCAAATAATCTGCAAAGGAATTGCCATACAAGGTCTGGCCTTACTGACTACAATTTCCTCGTCTTAATTCTACTCTTGTTCTGGGTCAGACTCTGGCTGCAACATGTAAGGCTGTATAGACAAGTCTTCTGTTGTGACATCTTTTACGGTAATTAAATTGTAAGTAAATCTTTTCTGCATTGTTAGGAAAAGTACTCATTCAGTTTTTCATAGGGTGTCTTATTTTTTCACGTTACTGTACCAGTTTTTCGTAAAAAAAAAAGTTATCCCTTTGTAAAATAAAAATGCTTTACTTGAACTTAACAAATACGTCACAAAGCAACAAAACCTACACATAATTTGTGCACACTTGCCTATTGAATAGAATCTAAGTTCACTTTTATTTGGTTTTGGCAGAGCCCCTCTGGTTTATAAAGCTTCATCAAAAACAAATGAAGCTTTTTCATTTTTTCTAAAGGAATATCTGATTCCACACGCTCACTGAAACAAAATCTTAGATAAACTTATGCATCACGTCTACTGATGTGCAGTTGAATGTTGAAGAGTTTGCAGCTAGTTTACTTCTCCTTATTTCTGATGCATCAGAACTTAAGTTGTCATCACGTGTATTCTTACAAATCCAGTCGATTGTGTGCTGACAAAACTTTGACAAAATGTTGCTCTCCATGTTATCAAACATTGCTGGGGTATCGCGCTGCCCTAAACTTCGCACAAAGTTTTACATAACTTTTTAAAATTGTTTTATTTTTCTTTCTTTGTCTGTGGCAAGAAGCGGCACCAAGCCACTGCATGCATTTAACCAGGTAACTGCAGGTACAAGGTGCTGCAACAGCCAAAATATCTCAGAAACTCAATCAGTAAATCAGCCATTTTTCAGTTTTTGTTTCTTTTTAGCCACATATAACTTACCACAGTTGTACAGAGAATGAGGATTGCTTGGTCAGCCCCTCTACCAAAAGCAAACATAAAAGAACATTTGTAAAGGCATCTGCCCTAATGTGTTGCTAATCAGTAGATGCTGAGTTGAAAATAGAAGGTTGAGAAAAAATTTATCTATCGCCCAACTCTAATATGCAAACCCCTCTCTTTTTCGTTTGTATATCCAGATGTTGTATAAAGTGAGACTGATTTGTGGAGTGTGTTTTGTTGAGTGTATTATGTTAATGTTGGTTTGTGTCTTCTTATGCAGCATGATCTGAAATATGATGTCGGTGGAGGGGAGAAGTTTGACTCTCTCACCGACTTGGTGGAGCACTACAAAAAAAACCCTATGGTGGAAACACTAGGTACTGTGCTTCAGCTGAAACAGGTTAGTCTTGTTTTAATGTTATTAGTCTACAAAATGTAATTACATTTTGTTATCATGAAGTTAATGTGAAACTTTCTTTAAGTATGTGTCTGCCCTTATCTGCAGCCCCTAAACACAACTCGTATAAATGCAGCAGAGATTGAAAGTCGAGTTCGGGAGCTCAGTAAACAAGCAGATGCTACTGACAAGTTCAAACAAGGCTTCTGGGAGGAGTTTGAGGTGAGTGCTTCTAGTACTTTATAGAGTCTATATGTAATCCGTCCATCAAGTTCTGGGTCTGTCCCAGGGTCTCCCAGTTGTACTTCCCCAGAAAATCTCCAAAAGGAGGTTCGACTTTGTACCAAGAATGTGGACACAGAGCATGTACTGCTCTTGCTTGGATTATACAGGGACTTGATGGGACTTAAAAACAACTCTGGGCAGCACTGGACTGGCCATCAGGCATAGCAGGCACTTGCCCGGCAAGCCCCTGGTGATTTTGGGCCGGGCCAGGCCTATCATGAACCAAAAAAATATATTATAACTAATTTTTGTCGACCCTGACGGCTCAGTTGATTTTCTTGAACGACAGCGAGCTAATCCAATGAAATCTCTCAGTACTCCTTGGCCGGCCCGGCCAGCCCCTCCCCTTTATATCAAAGTTATAAAATTTGCCTTTAGGGCTGACTGGAGCAGAGTTGGAGAGAAGGAGAAAGCACTGGATAAAGCACGCTGAGAAGCTGCAGAAAAAATGCAGAAAGGTCTCCAAGTGCACGTAGTAAAATGTGCAAAAATAACCGTTTTCCTAGAACAAGCCCCTTCAGCCCCTTCTTTTCTTTTTTTCTTTTCTTTTTCACCATTCGCCGCATAAGAACTTACTGTGTATGGTCAGAGGTTTGTGGTATTGTTTAAGCTGAAAGTGCTCAGATGCTTAATTTTGCTTCAGCCACTTGCTTAAAAAAACAAAAACAACAAAAACTACTCTCTTCCAGAAGCTGAATGTTGTACCCCTAAGCAGACATTTATAAAGACAGTCAAATGGCCAGAAACTCTTAGATGGTGATAAAACAGATGTTGTTCACAAAGGAATCTCTCTGACAGAAACTGTGGAGATTTAACCGGGACATAGGAATGTGCGATATGGCAAAAAATTCATATCACGATATACATTATGATGGGTGGCAGTAACGATATATATCACGACATAAAACTTATTATAGAAAATAGATAAATCACATATTAATTGAGTGGAATGTATAAATATGTATAGGTAAAAAAAATTAGACCTTAAAATCTCC